GAAACGCTTGTTTGTCAGAATTTGTTGCGGATGTCTCGAGCGAAACGCTGGTTTTGCAGAGTTGGGGATGTCTCGAGCGAAACGCGTGTTTTCAGAATTTGTTGAGGATGTCTCGAGCGAAACGCTGGTTTTGCAGAGCCGACCGCGACGCGGAAAAGCGCCCCGCGCGCAGGAATTCCGAGGATGTCTCGCGCGTGCCGCGTCCCACGCGTAGGAATTTAGAGGACGTCTCGACTAATTCGTTTGTTTTTCTATGATTCCCTTGAATTTGGGCAGGATGTCTCGAGCGAAACGCTTGTTGTTCATAATTGGTTGACGATGTCTCGAGCGAAACGCTGGTTTTGCAGAGTTGGGGGATGTCTCGAGCGAAACGCTTGTTTTTCACAATGTGTTGAGGATGTCTCGAGCGAAACGCTGGTTTTGCAGAGTTGGGGTATCTAACATGACGTCGGGCCCAACGCCGAATTATGAGGAAACGCACGGGGGGCCGAAAAGCGCTACCCGAACACATGTCCCAATACAGAAAAGTGATGGTTTCTTGCTCTGAACAGGGGGTTGCGCTGCGGGGGGCTCTCCAGGGAAGATGTTGCGAGGATGTCTCGAGCGGGAGCGCGAATTCAGCGTATCCAGGTCACGCAGGGGGGGTATCTAACATGGCTGTCCCGAGCTGGAACCATGTGTTTTTTCATGCTCAGGCCACCCAGGGAGATCTCTAACATGATTGTCCCGAGCTGGAACCACGTGTTTGCACGTGTCCAGGCCACCCAGGGGGTATCTCATGATTGTCCGGAGATGGCACCGTGTTTACGTGCCCAGGCCACCAACACGACGCTTATCCCCAGCACGTTCTGTAGCGCGTCCCCTTGGCACGTCCCGCGGTGCGTCCCCGTGGCACGTCCCCTGGCACGTCGCCTGGCGCGTCCCTTGGAACGTTCCGCGGCGCGTCTTCCTGGCATGTTTCCTTGTCAATTAGCTCTGGGGCAGCTACTACGTGGACTATGTGCTCAGGCAGCTCGAGCTTAAGATCCAGATCAGTTCGGTCAGGACTCGGATGCAAAGGAGGACTCGATCCACGAGGCTATAGAGCACAATCGCGGCATGGCACATCGCAGTTCAGCACGGCGCAGCACAGCACAGCCCTCGGCACGGTACATCAAGATCGATACACTCACTCAGCATTGCAACCTGGCACGTTCTTTGGCACGTTCCGTGGCGCGTCCTGTGGCGAGTCCCCCTGGCACGTCGCGCGGCGCGTCCCTTGGCACGTCCCGTGGCACGTCCATTGGCACGTTCCGTAGCGCGTCCTTTTGGCACGTCCCGCGGTGCGTCCCCATGGCACGTTCCCTGGCACGTCGCTTGGCGCGTCCCTTGGAACGTTCCGCGGCGCGTCTTCCTATTATGCCCCCCCCGTGAATTAGCTCTTGGGCAGCTACTACGTGCTCAGGCAGCTCGAGCTTAAGATCCAGATCAGTTCGGGCAGGACTCGGATGCAAAGGAGGACTCGATCCACAACGCTATAGAGCACAGTCGTGGCATGGCACATCGCAATTCAGCACGGCGCAGCACAGCACAGCCTTCGGCACGGTACATCAAGATCGATAAATTCAGCATTGCAATTTGGCACGTTCCGTGGCGCGTCTTGTGGCGAGTCCCCCTGGCACGTCGCGCGGCGCGTCCCCTGGCACGTCCCGTGGCACGTCCATTGGCACGTTCCGTAGCGCGTCCTTTTGGCACGTCCCACGGTGCGTCCCCGTGGCACGTCCCCTGGCACTTCGCTTGGTGTGTCCCTTGGCACGTCCCGTGGCACGTCCATTGGCACGTTCCGTAGCGCGTCCCCTTGGCACGTCCCGCGGTGCGTCCCCATGGCACGTTCCCTGGCACGTCGCCTGGCGCGTCCCTTGGGACGTTCTGCGGCGCGTCCTCCTGGCATGTTCCCCTGTCAATCAGAGCCCTGGGGCAGCTACTAGTTATGTGCTCAGGCAGCTCGAGCTTAAGATCCAGATCAGTTCGGTCAGGACTCGGATGCAAAGGAGGACTCGATCCACAACGCTATAGCACAATCGTGGCATGGCACATCGCACTTCAGCACGGCGCAGCACAGCACAGCCCTCGGCACGGCACATCAAGATCGATAAATTCAGCATTGCATTTGCCCGTCGCCCAATCAGGTGTTTTTGAAACGTTGCCATGTCTTACATGTATAGATTCCTTTCCGGGTTCGTGGGTCGATCATGTTTTTGAACAGGGCTCGTTGTCGGTGTCGCTGCGGACGTTTCCCGTTTGAGACAGCAAGCCGCGTGCTCAACAGCGGCCGCTGCCAATTTAGGACAACACTTGTTGTTGGGCTTCGTACCCATTTTTTTGCGTACCCACTTTGTCCTTCCTATTCCCAATTGTTGTTCGGATGGATGGCGGACAGTTTCCAAACGTAGTTCTCGCCTCGGCGCCACGCACATGCGTTTTACATGGCATACCCAGATGGTGGGTGGTTCTTTTTCACAATGGGATTCTCGATTGTGAGGTTATATGATTCGATCAGGTTGCGACAACGGGCACCCGCCCCAAGGAGTCCTCCGATTCCGCGGCCCCCCCTGAGACCGCCCCAGAGGCTCCAAGAGTCAGCGAGATGGCCCGAGTGCACCCCTGGGGTTTTCCAAAGGGTACCCAGGCGATGATCAGACAGGTGACGAGGGCCCAAGTAGGCATAATAGGCCCCCAAAGGACCCCAATAGGCGACAAGATTGCCCTAGAGGGCCCACAGGCGGGCCGAAACCATGGACAGAACTAAGAGATGATTGAGATGCCCGTATATGTTTGGATACTTTTCTGCTGAACATGGTTCAAAGAGGCCTCCAGAGAGCATCAGTCGACGACTGCCCCGAGTAGGCCCCAGGAGGGCCGAAGTGGTCTTTTCGAGGAGCCCCGAATGGACCAAAAGGGCTCCCAAGGGAACCCCAAGGGGGCCCATAAGCATCCCGAGATGTTTTCAGAATGCTCCAAGACGGCCCCACGAGACCCCAACAGGGCCCCAAGGGCCCCAAAATGGCTCCAACATTGCCCCAGTAGGCGTTTTGGCTCAAGCATGTTTGGCCCAAGAGACGTTTTGGCTCTGACGCCTTCAACTCGGTCCCCGTCTATTCAGCCACATCTGTGGTTAGGCTAGGACTGGCTTACAATGGTGCGCTGGATGTTGACCACAGACTCGTGGGACTCCCACCGGAAGGTTAGGAGGAAGTTGGAGGAGCTACGCATCCCAGAGCTGGGCTCTGTGCAGGCTCACCCCGACGGCAAGATTTTCTTCGAGGCGCCGCTCGAGGCCGTCAGCGAGCGCTTGGTTCTCATCGGCCTGGTCGAGCGTGTCTTCCTCTGCCTCCGCGACGAGAGCCTCGACGAGGCCCACCCGCTGTTTCGAGACGGGCCGAACTATGGTCTGCTGCAGGCCTGGCTGCGCGACGCCAAGTGGGAGGGGGCCGTGGCAGCCTTTGAGGCGCTGGAGCTCTCGCACGGCGGTGGGCGCCTGGCGAGGCGCACCTGGTCGGTCACGACGAAGCGCCAGGGAGCCAAGGGAAGCCCTGCGAGGCTGTACGACCGCCTGCTCATACCCGGAGAAGAAATAGCGGCACAAACATGAGCTGTCGATTGTCCGTGCCGATTTCTTGGATCAGCGCCGAGGCCCCCTGGCGGTGCCTCCGGAGCCGCTCCTGGCGCGCTCCGCGCGCCCGGGAGGGGGGTCGGCGCAGATCCAAGAAACCCGCGCGGACCGTCGAACGTTTACATGTTTATGCCCTCGTTCCTTCCTCTAGATACAGCAGTCTGCGAGGGAGGTTCTGCAATCACGCCTGGGACACTTGGGCTACAGCCATGCGCACTGCCCAGGCATGATGGTCACCATCTACGTGACGTCCATCCTCGCCTACATCGCTTTGCCCATACTGCAGCGTCGCGTCAGGCAAGGCTACTTCCCTCACAAAGGCCTCCACCACAGCATATGTTGGGGCCTCGCGAAGACCGCTCAGCTCGAGCCTGGGCAGCTGGTTGTTGATCCCATGGCAGGGAAGGGCGTCATTTTGCTCGAGGCTGCGGCGTATTGGCCCTCGTGCCGCTACCTGGCTGGAGAGGCAGACAGCGACCAGCTCTCAAAGGCTGCGGAGAACCTCGCGTACGCCACAGCTCGGGGCGTACTCCGGGAGGGGGCAAAAGGCATCGGCTTGTTGTGGGCGGATTGCCGTCGATTGCCCCTGCCAAGCGCAAGCGTGGACGTTGTCCTGTGTGACCTGCCTTGGGGCCGCCAGTTCGGCGAGGAGGAGTCCAACACTCCTCTGTATCGAGAGCTTCTCATCGAGGTGGCCAGAGTACTGAGGCGACAGAAAGGCAGGGCGCTTCTCTTCACCATGTCAACCGCAGGGAATGACAAGGCGATGTCAGCAGCCATCGACGCCTCGGATCTCTGTTTGGTGAGGAACGTGCGCTTCCGCTTCGGCGGCAATCACAACCGCTTGCCCTGCACCCTGTACTGCTTGGCGCACCCGCCGCTGCAAGGGGCCTCTCGCGCAGGGGCGGCGGCTCTGGAGGGCCTCTTTGACTGGAGCTGCTTCGAGAGGTGCCAGCACCGCTCGAGCTCGTCTGTCGCCCAGGCCGAGCGATCCGGCGCGGAGTCGACCGACTTCGTCTTTCAGGACGTCAAGCCACTTCTGGAGTTCTATCTGCCAGGGCCCAGTGCGGAAGCAGAAGGGGCGACGGCTCGCGGTGAGGTCGGCGGAGGCTCGCGCAACCCATCGACCGGGCAGCCGCAGCCAGCGCTTTCTCGCGAAGGGGCGTGCTTTGCTCTTCACCTCTGTCGCGAGGAGTATGCAAGGGCGCTGTGCTTCTACAGGATGCGCCATCTGGCCCCTGCGACGAAGGTACCAAAGAGTGCCCCAATGGGCAGAAAAAGAGCCGCAGGATGGCCCCTAGTAGTATGGCCCGCAAGGTCCAGAGACAGCCCCACGAGGGCCGCATGATAACCCCACGAGGGAGGAGGAAGAGGAGGAAGACGATGACGACGAGGATCCCCTCCCCATACTCCTTACCCGCCCTCCGTATCCTCATTCCTCGTCCTTCCTCGTCCCGCATCCCTTCTCCCTCCTCCCCTCCCTCCCTCTTGCCCCAGCTCCCCACCCACTCCCCCCTTCTCCGTTCCCCTAGTTGGGCTGGCGGAGAGCGCGAGGACGGGGAGCACAACAGCGGGAGGAACTATAGAGGCACACGTTCGTTTTCTGGTATGCCTTCAGCAACCGACGCGCTAGCCTCGAAACGTTCGGTTCCAGCACACGCGGGCAGGGGCCTTCTGCCGCGCTACGCGCTAGGCCTGAAGGCCGGCAGAGCGTGAGCGCGCGCGGAGCTCGCGCCACGGTTCTGGCTGAAGGTTGCGCAGTCCACTGGTGGAGGGAGGCTCGTCTTCGAAGCGGGGCCTCCGCGGGACATGCCCTGGGAGGTGGCATTATTCCTTTCCGTCTTCGATGGTTCTCTACTTTCGCAGGCCTAGAGGCTGGCACCAACACCAAGATCGGCGGTGTGTCCCCACCGAGGGAAGAAGATCCCGATCTCGGTGATGGTGGTAATAATCCTGGCTTCCAAGGTGGCCGAAACATTACCACCAACACCGAAATCTAGGATCATCTTCCCCCTGTGGAGGCAACCCCATGTGTTGGTGTTGGTGCTCATTTCCAGGCCTCCAATAATTAAAATGTTTGCTGGCCCTTTCTCAAACTTGGATTCCCGCTCGAATGCCGGGCCCACGGGGCGCCTCCGTCTTTCACGGTGGACACGCGTCATGCTCTTGCAGGGGAGGGCAACTGGGACGGGAGGGTTCCTGAAAAACCGTCAGCGCATCCTGGGCCGTCTCTTAGTGAGCCGCCTCCCCCTTCCTCCAACGTCTCCTCATCCATCCGCCTTCCCTCCAAGCGTCTGCTCCCTGTCGCACCACCCGGCGTGTCGTTAGGGCGATCCGGGCAGTCCGCTTGAGGCTCCCTCAGCGCTTACGGTATCAAGGCTTAGAGTTTCCAGCAGCTGCACAGGTGGAGGGCGGCCGTTTGCAGGGTGAGGTTCTCGTCTTGCCTTGGCACCGCGCACCCTTGTCTGAGGTACACGGACGGAGGGCGGGCCTTGTTTCAAAGTGAGGTTCTCGCCTTGGCATCGCGCACACTCGTCCTTACTCACTTCCAACAGCTATTCGGTGAAGAGCGGACTGTTTTCAAAATCGGAATCGCCTTGGCGCCTAAAACAAGTCCAACCGCTGCTCGGCTGGAGGGAGGTCCCTTTGCAAAATACGGTTCCCGCCATAGACTTCCTCATGCATTGCTGTCACAAACATACAGGTGCGATGTTTCGTTGTCAAAATACAAAGATATACAGCGGCTATACAGATGGACGGCGAGCCTTTTCCAAAATGGGGCATTCGCATGCGACCTGGCTGGATGTCATGACCCGACGTCTTACACTGTTCAACAGTTGCACAGATGGAGAGGCTCTCGCCTTGGCGGCGCGCACTCTCGTCTTCAAACGAGTCCAGTCGTTATACGGACGGAGGGCGACTACTTTTCAAGATGGGATTCCCGCAAGATCACCAGAAGTAGGTAGCATAGCCAGCGTCTGCCCCGGCCCATGGGCAGCACACGTTTTCGGACCCCCCTCCCCGACTACATTTCAGGAACCGATTTCAGCGACAAGGGGAGTTTCCACGGTAGCACGGGGCCTCAAGACGTCGCTTAGAGCCCCCCACGACGGACCAAGACGGCTTCACGACGGCCCCAAGACGCCCCAGGGGGGCATCGAGTTGGCCCGATCAGCCCCCAAGACACCGTAAGAGCGCCCAAGACGACCGCCACCAAGGCTTCTGGACGCAGAAGTTGTGAATTTCATATTTGGGTGTTTGACAGATGTTCGCGCTCTCGTCTTCTCGGGCCTCTGACACCTCAAGAAGGGCCCACGGGGCTCCCAGACCGACCCACAACGGAAGAAGGCTCCCAGAGGGCCCCAAGACTGTCTAAGGTGCCCCCAAGAAGAGTCCAAAGATGAGGAAGTCGAAGGGGCCTTGGGAGCTCTCGCCCCAACATCACCCCCAATACCCCCAAAACCCTCGAGAGCGGCCCCAGAGGGCCTCCAGAATCAGAAATCATTGTTTCTCAAAACGTTCTCGCCCCAAAACTGTGTTCCCCCCTTCTGGGATGTCTCACAGCTACAGACGGCCCACGAGGTCCTCCAGATCAGCCCAAGACGGCCCCAGCAACCCCCGAGACATCCCAAAGAAAGCACCGAGAGGAGCCAACAAACGGAGAGGCCCCGAAGAAAGCCCCAGCGCGACCCCATGAGGCCCCCAGCACTGCCCGACTGGAGCGGGCTCGGTGCTCCTCCGGCCGTGCCCCTTCTTCAGCCCGTCAACCCACCACCAAACTGCCAAGCAGCCGAACCGCGCGTGGAGCGTCTCGGGAGCGGCGGGCCCCCGTGGCAGGGGGAATAAGAAGGAGATGAAAAGAAGGAGCATACGCTTATATCATGATGATGACGATGCTGCTGACGATGATGACGATGATGCTGGCGATGATGACGAATATGACGATGATGACGATGAGGATGATGATGATGCTGGTGATGACGATGATGGTGATGACGGTGATGATGATGCTGATGATGATGGTGATGGTGATGGTGGTGATGATGAGGTGATGGTGGTGATGATGACGACGACGATGGTGATGATGATAATGATGATGGTGATGATGATGATGATGCTGATGATGACGATGATGGATTTGAGGAGCATAACCAGAATATGTGAAGGTCAAGGTCAAGGGAGGAGGAGGTCCGAGAACGAAGAGGACGAGAAAGTGCAGGGAAATAATGAACGGTGAGGAGGAGGAGGAGGAGGAGAAGGAGGAAGACGAAGGAGGATGACATCGGAGGAAGATAAACCAAGAGAAAAACCAATAGACAATGGGCAGCAAAGAGAAAAGCCATGTGCTCGAATCCAAAGGAGAAGCCAAGAGGGAAGGGGGAAGGGAGCAAGGAAGGACGAGGACGAAAGCAGGAGGAGGAGGACGGAGGAAGAGACGGAGGCAGGAGAGGACGATGAGAACAAGAACGTGGACAGCCATATTCCTTCACGCTGCCATCTTGGAAACAACACCTGCGCTGGTTAAATTCAATGGAACGATGTCTCGGTCCACCTAACAAATCCCCAGGATGTGGTTCCTTGGCCTTCCCACGGTACCCGCATTGGCGTGGGCCTGAAGAGGGAAAGAGAGAGAGAGAGAGAACAAAAACAAACATGCGAAGGGCCCAACCATATGCAGTTGTGAATATCGCCGTTATGGGCATCGCCGATCTTTTATAGGGGCCACGAAGTGTGTGAAGGGTGTGCCGAAACATGGCGAGAACGCATGTGGACGCAGCCATTGGGGCCTTCGGTGGCGTTCCATATTGGGCCACGAAACGTGTGGGGGGCGTGCCGAAATGGAGCGGGGTCTCCATGCGAACGTCGCCACTGGGGCCTTCGGTGGAACTCTGTATACGGCCACGAAGCGCTGCACTGAAAAAGGGAAAACGCATGCGAACGCCGCCTCAGGGATCTTCGGCGGAGCTCCCATATGAGGCCACGCAGCGTTATACTGGGTGGGGGAAATGAATGCGAGCACCGCCACTGAGGCCGTCGGTGGAGCCCCCTATGGGGCCACGAAGCGCTGTAATGAGTGGGGGAGACGCATGCGAACACCATCGCCGGGGCCTTCGGCTGAGCTCCCTATGGGGCCACGAAACGTTATACTGGGTGTGGGAAGCGCATGCGAGCACCGCCACTGGGGCCGTCGGTGGAGCTCCCTATGGGGCCACGAAGCGCTGTACTGGGTGGGGGGTCGCATGCGAAAGCCGCCGCCGGGGCCTTCGGTGGAGCTCCCTATGGGGCCACGAAGCGCAGTAGCTGGTGGGGGAGACGCATGGGAACACCGCCACTGAGGCTTTCGGTGGAGCTCCCTATGGAGCCGCGAACGCTGTATTCGGAGGGGGAAACGCATGCGAACGCCGCCGCCGGGGCCTTCGGCGGAGCTTCCTATGGGGCCACGAAACTTCATACTGTGTGAGGGAAACGCATGCGAACACCGCCGCTGGGGTCTGCGGTGGAGGTCCCTATGGGGCCACGAAGCATTGTGCTTTGGGTAACGCATGTGAACACCGCCGCCGGGGCCTTCAGTGGAGCTCCCTATGAGGCCACGAAGCGTTGTACTGGGCGGGGGGAACGCACGCGAACGCCGCCACTGGGGCCTTCGGTGGAGCTCCCTATGGGGCAACGAATCGCTGTACTGGGTGGGGGAAGCGCATGCGAGCGCCGCCACTGGGGCCGTCGGTGGAGCTCCGTCTTGGGCCACGATGCGTGCGAGGGGTGTGCCGAAATGGGCGCGGGACGCATGGGGTCTTTGGCGGAGTTCCCGATGGGGCCACGAACCGTGTGAGGGGTGTGCCGGAATGGGCGCAGGACGCATACGAACATTGCCATTGGGGCCTTCGGTGGAGCTCCCTATGGGGCAACGAAACGTGCAAGGGGTGTGCCGACGTGGGCGCGGGACGCATGTGGACGCAGCCACTGGGGCCTTCGGTGGAGCTCCTTATGGGGCCACGAAAGGTGTGACAGGTATGCCGAAAAATATGCGCGGGACGCATGTGGACGCAGCCACTGGGGCCTTCGGTGGAGCTCCTTACGGGGCCACGAACCGTGTGATGGGTGTGCCGAAGCTGATGGCGATGATGGTGATGATGACTGCGATGATGCCGGCGATGATGATGACGATGATGGTGATAATGATGATGACGATGATGATGATGAGGAGGAGGATGATGTTGTTGTTTGATGATGATGGTGATGATGATGATGATGATGATGATGATGATGATGATGACGGTCATGATGTCAATGATGATGAGATTGATGTTGACGATGATGATGAGGAGAAGGATGAGGATGGGGATGGTG